TAATTTTAAAAGATTAGTCTAAAGTTTGATCTTTAAAAATCTTTTACTTTAATGAGTTTAGTCTTAGATTTGATCTCCTAATTTAATTTACATCTTTTAAGTTTTGGGCTGGTTAAAAATCAATTAATAGATTTGTTAAATTTAATTTAAGTTTTGTATTTTAGTGATTATAGATATTAATCATGGTTTGATTTAAAGTTAGGTATTTTAATGCATTGAGATTAGGATTAAGAATGATTTTGTTGGTTGATTATTAATGGTTTAAGATACTAAACCTAGGGAAATATGTCACTAAGTTTATGTTTTGATGTCTTATATTTTCAATAATTGGCATGTCTCTTATCTGAGTTGTGTCGTATTCGTGTCACCGTGTCTATGCATAATAGGACTGGCAGCTAAGATTAGAGAGAATCACCTTAAATGGTTTTGTTACATGAAACATTAGCATTTCGATGACCTAGCTAGGAGAGTAGATGTATTAGATATGCCCTATATTAAGAAAGGTAGAGGTAGACCTAAAAAGACTTAGTTATAAAATGTTAAAATGACATATTTTATTAGATTTAAATGAGAATTAGACTCATAATGCGACACAACGGAGAAAAAAGATTCATATAGCCGACCACACAGTGGCATAAAGGCTTAATGTTGTTGCATATTGTGAAGTACTATAAAAAATGAATTATTACTACTATCAACACCTGCATGCAACAAATTTTAAGTGGCATCATTTAAGAAATTAATACAAGAGGGCTATCAATGAATGAGTGGCAGAGCTAATGAGGAGGCAAAAGCAAGGAAGCTATTGAGAAGGAGATCCATCATTTAAACTCCTAAGAATGTATAAGAGATTTCAAATGCTTGAATTATTGTCTATTTTTATGAACTATGATAACATTTTATCATAATATCATTAATATTAGTCAGAAAAGAATTTAAAATTTTATTAATTGAAAATACCGTTAATGATTTTTGAAATCATTTATTACTCTATTTTATAATTTATGACGAGGCATTTATTTCATAAGTAAAGATGTAATTAATAAAATTGATTGATTTGGACTTTTTTAAGTAACGATACATTTATTTCATAAGTAAAGATGTAATTTCATTTGATTGGGTTAATTATTTCATTTGATTAAATAGATTATGGATCATAACAATTTGGGATGACAGAATCATAAGAACTTGATTGGGTTCTGTCATCATTCCTCCTGACAACTACCGTAATTGTAAATATGAGCAAACTGGTAATTAATAGGATATCTTTGAGAACAATTAAAGGGGAAAAAAGTTTTTAAGGATCTTAAGAGATGTGACATTAGCTAGTCCATTTCTTATTAGCTAAACATGTCATTAAAATTATTAATAAAAATGAATGGCAATAGGTGTGATTTTGTTAATTTTTTAGTAAAATATATATATTACACTGAAAATATTGCTGTGAATATGAATTGTGTTTTGTTTAGGATAACTTTATTATTATTTTTTAAAGTAAAATTTTAATACAAAAAATTTTAATTAAAAAAATTATACTAAAAATTTGTTTTAATAACTTTTCCGTTATTTTATTTTATATACATCAATTATAATTTTATTTGATTATTATTTTCTTGTTGCTTTCTCACTAATTTTCAAAATATTTTGTGACGGAGATTATTTTTTTACAGTTAACGTAGTTAAATTGTTTTTCCACAACAATTTCACAACCAGCTTTATAAAAAGCTATAATCGTCCCAAACAAACTCATAATTTTTGTTGGTTTTTCATTTTGTAATGATATTTACATTTTTACTAATGACATTCAAAGGTCTATAAAAAATAGTATTATTATTTTAAACTATTATGAGCTTATCTCCGAGACTTTGACTAACTCATTTGTTTTGAGAAATCTATGATAGGAAATGCAATAATTTCTGGCAGAAGTATTCACCTAAAAACTTTAAAAATTTCTTGGAGATCGATGTTTCCAACAGATTTCCGACAAAAAATTGAGCATAATAAACATATTAGTGAACGGATGAGAATGTTGGGGGGACAGAGGGGCAAGATCTAGGGTTTGTTTTAGGCGAGAATCAACTAAGAGGGTCGTTTCACATGAAATAGCAGAAGAATGGACGAAACAGTGGAAATATGGACTTTCGCGCAATATTTTCGGCGGAAAATTCTGCCAGAAATTTCCTTCAAAGAAAATCGGCGGCTAAACTGCCAGTATTTCGTTGGTATTTCTGAGGAGCAATATTTCGCCGGAAATAACAAGATTTCTTATAATGATCTACCTTCATTATTCATTTTAATTATTTTAGAAGAAGAATTAATGTTATTAGGGATCCCACCAAGTTTTGTTTGGGTAATTAACCCATGACTTAGGTGTTCCCCTCTACATAGGCTATAAGAAGTCTTCTATGTATGATGAGATTTCTAAACAAAATTCAATGTAAAATTGTTGACTGGGAGCAATCTCTTCTATCTATTTGGGGGATTATTATTCCTATGTTTCATTTTCAAATTTTAAATCCTCTTAAGAAAGTTACCAACATATTAATTATTATATTTAATAAGTTTATGTGGGTTGCTAAGAAAAAATATACTTAATTTATTGAAAACATTTAAAACATCATTTATTTTCCTTGTTTTTAAGAGTGGTTTTGATATTGTATCATTTGATGATCTAATTAAAATCATGCCTTTTAAATTGTTATGAAAATTTAGGCTCAATGAATCATTTTGGCTATATTTGTTAAAGAAGAAAATTATAGATTTTCTAATATTTTCTTTTCTTTTATAGTACTTAAGACATTTTTGCTCCATTACTATTAAACTTATAAACCTCTTTTATTATTATTTTTAATTATTATAATGTTTCTAGAACTTATAAGTGTTAGGAGTAAATAAATCAAAATAAATAAGATAAAAATATTAGAGAAAGAACACCAAAATTTACATGAAAATTTTAAGAAGGGGAAAAAATCATGAAGTCTCATCACATCAAGAAATTCACTATAAAAAAAGAGAGTAGAAATTATACCGTTATAATCTAACTAAAATGAAAAACTGCACAAAAAAAGCATGTCTGCTATATTTGATTCCCGTTGCAAAAACAATTCACAAAATGTTCTAAAGCAGTAGTTTTCGTGCTGGTTTTGACCTCCACTATTCTGTAAGTATACCAACGACCAAAACCATCACCAATTACTCAGTTTAGTGGCAATTAAAACCACCAATATTTACCCAAAATTTTTTTAATTTATTTGTAACTATAAAAACAAGATTCATAATACTGATCGTAGATATTTGATAACCGTCACAACAATAAAAGTCGGTGTAACAATCTCATCCACTACAAATATTAATCTATAATAGCCAAATACATGAATGATTAGAACTTTAAGGTCAATAATACAACAATCAAAACATATAGATCATCAGGTATTCACTATGCCTTAAGATTCGTAAAAATACAAAAAAAAAAAGATAAATTAAAATATTCTAAATGGTGTCAACTAACGACCAATTTTCTAGAAGTATTTGTTCTTCATGAGTTGATTCGTAATCAGTCATTATAAAAATTTCTTTTCTTTGGAATCTCGGAGTAGGCCATATTAAAATACGGCCTATATTGTAACAAAAAAAGCAATATATTTTGATTTGAATAAGTCATTTAATATCTATTTGGGATAACTTTTTCATATGCTTTTCAGATTGCCACCGCTAGTGGTGCAAGTAAGTCGAGCAGGCTCGTGAACCGGATCGAATTCGACTTGCTAACAAGCTCCTTATTCATGCTTATTGAGTTTTAAATTCGTGTTTAAGCTCATTTACTAAACGAGCTCAATCTTACTCGTCTCGTTAGCTTGTCAAGCTACTCAATATTAAAAGATTTTAATATACCAATTAAAAAAAATTTAAGATAAAAATTCTAGGTTCTTAAATGAGTTGACTTCAAACTTTTCAATTGAGTCAAGGTCGAGCTTTTTAAACGAGCTCAAGTGATCAAGTTGAGCTCGAGCTTGATTTTTATACGAGTCAAATTCAAGCTCTTTAAATGAGCTTGAGTCGAGCTTGGCTCAACTCAATAATGCCACTACTTAGGGGTGTCAATATTTGACACGACACGAAAATCCGACCCGGACCCGACCCGATTTCAACCCGGACCGACCCGATTTCAAAACGGGTCGGGTTCGGGTTCCTGGATTCGGCCCGTTTGAAAAAACGGGCCGGGTTCCGGTTGACCCGACAGGTTGGTCGGGTCAGGTCAACCCAACAACCCGATGGGTCAGGTTTGGGTCCATGTTTTTGACTCGTTTGCCTACCCGGGTCAAGTTAGGATCGACCTGATTGAACCCGAGGCAATTCTGGGTTAGACCCGAACCCGACCCATGACCCGAAATTAACACCCCTACCACTACTTACAACTTATTTACACCCCAATGCACCCCAATCTATGTAGCTATTCTTTAATTACTGCCATTATTTTTCAAAACTTCCATCATAATTTTTTTTTTCTTAGTAACTTCACAATCAACTTCATCAAATGTTAAAGTTGTCCCAAATATAACCTTAATTTGCTATAAATATTTTATTATTTATTTGACACATTAACCATTATCTTGTTTTATCAACTTGCATAAACCTTTAATCAAACAAAACCACTCATTTCATTGGAGGTGTAACTCTCTTATTTAAAATTAAATAAAAATAGATAAATTAGCAAAGTCAAGTTATTCTAATTTATAGGTAGGAAGCAAAGAGATAAGATCACCACATGCTCAATTAGTTGTCCTTTGGGCTAAGAACCTTATCCTATCCATTTGCCTAAATAATTATATCACATTACCACAACAAAAAAAATAGTAGACAAGCGAAAAGCAAATTCCACTATTGCTCTTTCTTCTTCAATAAAACTCTTATCCAAGCGATCAGATCAGATTAAGCTGTTAATTTTTGAATTCTTCTTTGTTTATATTTTCACTAATTAAGCATTTATATAACAGATCAAATGCAAGCGGAGATCAAAGATTTGATATATTGGAATTTCATAATAAAGAAGCTAAACATGTTGAAGATCAGAAAAGGAGAATGATCTAGGTGACTTGAAGGTCTTGCTTAATCCTCTCGCACCACCATGGCTGAGAGGTTTGGGGAGAGGGGCAAAAGAGGAGATTTCTTCTTCTCCCCTTTCGTCGTCGTCCTCCTCTCCTTCTTTAACAACATGACCAGGGGAGAGGAGTGAGGGTAAGGATGTGATGAGTGAACTGTAGGAAGCTCTCCGGCTTCGAGAGATCTTGTTGGCCATAAGGATTCTTTTCCTCTTGTTGAAGGGGTTCTCTTGCTTCTTGAGTTCCCTGGCACTACCAGACGAAGCTTCGGAGAGGCTGGCGAATGATTTAGACTTTCCTGTGAAGAAATTCGACAATCCTCTCCTGGATAAGAGTGTAAAATTTCAGTTTTTGTGGTGGAAGTAACAGGAATATAACTTAACAAAGGCTTGAAGAAGAACCATAATCATTAAAAAAATTTCAAGAATCATATGAAATAGAAGGGTTGAAGAAGAAAGGAGCTCACTTTATTGGAAGGGAATCTTCCAAAGAGTCCAGAGAAGCTAAGGCCCCTTCTTCTTTCAGCTTGCTCTGGACTTCATTTCCCCTTTCGTCATCATCCTCTTCCTCCTCTGAAGAAGATGACTGAACGCCAATAGATGAGCTCTCTGATGAATCCTCCGCCTCCTGCTTTTCCTCCTCTTCCTTCTTTGTAACAAAGGAATAAGTATTCAAACTTTTCATCCCCAACAAGACAAAATCCTCTGTTTCTCTTTCCTGCTCAATTTCCAAGCTGGTTTCTTTGTATTCTCCATGGTTGAAGACTGGCAGACTGACTTGTTGCTCCTTTATGCCCACCGTTGGGCCGTTGAGTACCTCCACGCTTGTGAACAGAAGGGACATCTCTGTGTTCTCCTCTACAAACTCTTTACTCTGTTTCTCCTTCTCCTTCTTCTTCTTCTTATCCTTCCAAAGGTCAGGACGTCGATTGCTTTCTCATCCAGGCAAAGGATAGCCGTAAAGCTAGGCAGCCATGGCTCTTCTAACTAGCCTTTTCAATAAAGATCAACGATGGAGAGAGAGAGAGGGAGAGAGAGATGGGGAGAATAAGAAGATGAGGTTGAGAAGATAAGGGGATGGTCTTTGACACGTTCATGATAGATAGGTCGCGTGTCCCGTTTTGCGACTGTGTTGCTGTAGCTGGCTAAACCACTTCAGATTTCCGCAGGCTTATCAATACCAGTCTCTCTCTCTCTCTCTCTCTCTCTGTAATGGATAAATGGATGCTTTGGGTACAGCGATATACAGGGAGTCATACGTTAATGGGACGATCGAAATTGAAGGGAAATTGAAAATATATTCTCTTAGAAAAAACGATAATTGCTTTAAATTATAATATCGTGTTTTAAATGATAATAAAATATATTGCTTCAATAATCTACTCCAAATTAGCTCTTCAGCCTAAACCAAAGTACATTAACTAAGGCATCATTTAGGGCGATTTTTTTACTGTTTATTAAAATAATTTTTTAATAGAAAAATAAAAATTATTTTATCAGAGAAGAGTTTTAAAAAGTTGTAAGAAAGCCGTCTCATATGAAATCTAAGACTTTGTTTGGGACGATTTTCTTATTGTTTTGTAAAGCAAATTTCTATCATAAAAATTTATTTTTTATGCTAAAAATTACTTTAAGAAGCAGTAAGAAAGCCGTCCCAAATAAAGCCTAAGTGTACCATAATTTTGAGTTTTACAACTTGGTTTTGAGTCCTTTATTGTTGAATGAAAAGACTCATGGCTCATGTAAAAGTGATGGTTATATTTTTGTGGTGAGATTAGAATTTATTTTTAAATGGAGCATATAAAATTATTTTTTATTATTTAGATGAGTAGAAATTAAAATTTTATTATTAAAAAATTTTAAATATTTGAGAATTATAATAATATATATTATGTCATTCATGTCCGGATCAATATATGTTAGATCTATTGTTCATCATTAGCAAAAAATGGAAATAAAATTTTTATAGTTGTGTTGGTGTGTTTAATTAACTAATCGTGTCAACTTCTTCATGCTTAGTCGGTTGAGGGTTTTATCACTAAATTTGAGGTTGAGGGTTAAGAGTTTTACCACTATGAATTGCCTAACTAAGATTCAATTGAATAATTGTACATATGTAATTACCCTCTAATCGACCTAATTATTTGAGTTATATTAAATTTGACAAGTCAAAATGCATTAAAAAAGTAGGGCACAAATCTAATTTTATAACTATTATTTTATACATAAATGATTGCACCTAGACTTATATTCAAATTACTTGGCACTATTTGGGATCACATCATAAGATAATAAAAATAATTAAAATATAATCATAGATATTTGCTACACTATAAGGCCAAGAAAAAAAATAAAGACATAAAAAGTAAAGAAAAATCAGCTCTAACAATCATATGTAATCCATAAAGAAATGTCAAAAATACAAAAGAGCGTGTATTAAAAGAATGATAGTGATATCAACATTTATCACATGAAAAACAAGGATATAGGCTTATTTAAGATGATTTTCTTTGTGATTCTTAAAGCAGCTTTTTTGTAAAAAAAAATTAAATTTTTGTATTAAAAAATTGTTTAAGAAGCAATAAGAAAATCATCTCAAACGAAGGCATAGATCAATATTCAAAGATAATTACCTTTGAATCAATTAATAGATTAATCTCCAATCCCTTTCGATATTACTAATTAAATTATGCATGCATTAAATTCATTCAATTGCTTCTAATTATTATTAAATTGATCCAATAAAAGATATTGAAGAGCAAATTCACTTATGAGTTAACTTGATTCTAATAAGTATAAAAAAAATATTTGAATTTTTTTAAAAATTGTGCCTAATTTGTAGTGTATTTTTTTTTTTGGTGGGGGTAAAAAATCTGATTTGTAATGTCATCATTGATTTGATCAATTTCAACATATTGATTGCAACCAATGAAATGATAGCAAAGTTGATTCAATAATGATGAGCCTTAAAAATATAGATTGCCGAGCCAACCAATGGAATAGAAAACAATGCACATAATGCTATTAACCAAGCAACATAATAAATTAAGTACTTGTACTATGAGAAGGTTTTGCTAATAATGATATATTTTAGTAGATCATTAAAATAAAGAGTATTTTGATAAATTATTCTAGATATAAGGGTTTTAAAAATAATAGTTTTTTATTTAAATAAAAGAAATGTGGAGTGGTTTTAGATTATTTGGAATTTATTGTTTAATACAGTTTTGTTATAGTTGAAAATCATTAGATTTGATAAATTTATATATATATATTATAAATTTATTCTTATTATTGTCGTAAGATGGCCACCGAATGTCATCACCAACACCTGTCACTTATTGTCAGTCACCACCCGCTACTGTGTTTGCAGTTAGTTTTTGGTAGCTGTTATCATCATGGGTTGCCCCCCATTTAGGGGTGTCAATTCGGGTCAACCCGTCGGGTTCGGGTCGAACCCGACCCGCGTTTTTCAAACGGGTCAAATATGCGAACCCTAACCCGACCTGTTTATCAAATGGGTCGGGTCCAACCCGGATTTTCCGGGTCGGGTCCGGGTCGGGTTTTCGGGTCGGGTCAAATATTGACACCCCTACACCCATTGTTGTTGGTTCCCTGGTTGTTGGCCACTTCCCACCACTTGCCATCGGCTACCACTTGCTACTGGCCATTTGTCACAAGTTACATTTATTTTACACTCATACAAACAACTTTAAATAGTTTAAATATATTTATTTCTTTTGAAGTATTTTTTATTTTACTGTATTCTTTTTGCATCCAACTAATCGACCTCTAAATGAATTATATTTTTATCGAATGAATATGCCACTTGCTATATTATCTAAAACAACTTGGCTAGTTATTGAAAGGATCATTTTTGCTGCACAACTTTTTTGGAGCTTTGTTTGGGACAGCTTTCTTACTGATTCTTAAAATAATTTTTTAGTACAAAAATTTTTTAAACTAAAATTTTTGTACTAAAAAGTTGTTTTAAAAAGCAATAAGAAAGTTATCCCAAATGAAACCTAACTATTGGTACTTTCTAGGAAGTAAGAAGACCTCATCTCATTACTTAATAAGAATAAAAACGTTGCATTTCAAAACCTTCTAGGTTTTTTAATTTGAAAGAACTGAAAAAGAAAAAAAAATGAAATTAAAATATAGAAATGATAAAGAAATTCGATTAAAAATATTTTCTAACCGATCAATTATTTGATTGAGGACAAATTGAGTGAAAAACATTTTTTTATTTAATTCCTGAAAATAAAAAAAATATATTTCTTATGAGTCGAAGACATTTGAATCATTATAATATATTGATAAAATTTTCTTCGTAAGTTTTACTAAGATTGTGAAAAAAATATATTATGATTAAAAAAGGGCATTTGTTTCATATTTTGTGTTAGATAAATCCTATTATCCAATAATTTACATTAATATCAAATACTAAGAAAAAAATTAAGAAACATTAAAATTTTGAGAATTAGATATGTAAATAGCATGAAATAAACTGGCATGTATGTAAATCCCTTTAAAATATATTTGCATTCCTTCAATTGCTTTTAACCTAAAAAAAGTCTTAACGTTATGAGAAAAGAAAGAATAAAGCTTTCTTACTAAGAAAATCGCACTTTAAATAATAAATACTTTTTTAAAATGTTGAACAATTAAAATAAACTTGTTTAACACTCTTAGGGCATCTCCAATCAAACTCTTCATTTTTCACTTCAAATTGCAGCGATAATCATATCAAACAATAAATCATCTCCAGCTAAATTTCATTTCTAACGCCAAAAAAGAATAATCCACGTGGAATCTTTCTAATCTTTATTTTCGCAAAAAAAAAAAAGATTTCTATGAGTAGTGTGACGTCAATATTGGGTCACACCGTTCACCGTCGTAAAAATGCGTTTCTTTTTGACGTTTGGGGTGGATACTCACAAAAATTGTAAATGTACTTTAATTTGTCCACAAAGTGGCATAAATAGCTAGGCGCCTGAGAGAGAGTAAGAGAGAAACTTGACAGATCTCTCAATTTTTTCCTCTATTTAAAAATTATTTTTTATTTTGAAATTTATATAAATTAATTAGTTTGAAAGTGGCAAAAATTCATAGTTCAATGCGATCATAAATATTTATTTATTTATTTCTAATCAAGAGTTAGTAATAATTAAAATTGAATTAAATCTATAGTTATTTAATAATTGTAAAATTAAAATATAATTTTTATTCCATTAGATACATCATATTTTTACATACAAAATTGTAAATAATGCACCATAGGTAATTAGGTATTATTCATATTTATTAATGATAAAAAGGTTACTAAAAACTTCAAAAGTTGAATTACAAAACCTTTTATTATATTATCTAAAGCACATACTTTTTTATTTCATTACATTTGATACTTTTTTGTTATATTATATAAAGCAATCTCTTTATTTTATTTTTATTCTCTTTTGGTATGACTTGAAATGATTTAAAAAACTTTTTCTTTTGCTAATTCTTTAAAAGTATTAGCAACCTTATTTTGATTGTATTTTTAGTCTTAATTAAGTTATACTTAATTTTTAACAAGAGTGTTAGACTATGATATTGCGGGATTTAAAAAGGCCTTATGCTAAAAATGGAGAGTTCCGCCCTAAAGCTACGAGGAAGATCTTCAAATCTAAAATATAGAATAAAAATATATCTTACAAAATTTCTTTGGATAACTTAAGAAATATTAGTATTATAATCTACGTACAAGTAGGATTAACTATAAGTGTTTTGTGCTATGTATATATATACATTCTTTAAGAAAATACACGCTTGGAACATTTTATTTTTTTGGATAAATATTTCTATATAAATAAATGATTAGAATAAGGGTTTTTAAAGTATGAAGGAGAAACTTATCATTTGTCTATCTCATACTAAAACTTTTAAGTTTTCACTACAAATTTAAAAATGTGACTAAAATATCATATTAGCCACATTTTTAAAAGAAGTGTACAAATTTTTTTAGGATTTTTACATTCATAACACCTAAAACTATTGAAAATACATATTTAACATCTAAACTTCTATATTTGCTTTAATCCTAAAAATTTTCAATAGTATGATTATTAATTCTATAGCTAAAACTTGATACCTAAATTTATTTAAAAAATTTATTATATTATTACTATAGCTCACATAAAAAAAAAAATTTACTATAA